GCTCTTTTAAGGCCAAAAAGTCATGAAGCAAATGCAACCATTATCTTTCGGGGTGACACATCCAAATTGGTTCAATGTTTACATGATCCTTACTATTTACTATGTCATTATCTTCGGGTGTGACATTCAAATTGGTTCAATGTTTACCTGATCTTTACTATTTACTATGTCATTATCTTTCGGGTGTGACATTCAAATTGGTTCAATGTTTACCCGATCCTTACTATTTACTATGTCATTATCTTTCGGGTGCGACATTCAAATTGGTTCAATGTTTACCTGATTCTTACTGTTTACTATGTCATTATCGTTCGGGTGTGACATTCAAATTGGCTCAATGTTTATCTAATCCTTATTATTTTCTATGTCATGTTGTTTAACCATTAGACAGTTATGGGCAACAGCGTTTGTTGTAACCACAGTGTCTTTGTAACCGACAGTCTTTGGGTCTAAAAGATCCTTTTTGATAGCCGCCAACCCGAAAATAATTCGCCACATACAATACAAGAAATAACCAAACATATAATATAAAGTGGAAAAAAATATATATGAGTGAATAAAAATCATTTTATGTATTAAAAAATGTTGGTTGACACACATTAGGTTCCCTTTTTATTTAATGCATCTTTTCCTAAGGGCTAAGAATTACCAAATTTCTTCTAATATATCCATGTTCACTGTACATGTGACAGCTGTCTTCATTTATCTTATTGCGAAATTTGTAAATACTTTTTATAACTAGTACAACGTCCGTGTATATTACATGGGTGTTTGTTAATTTTTTTCTTAAAATTTAAAATTAATAAAAAAAAGTAACTGAAAATTTAAATATCTTTTATAAAAATATATATTATTATATATTTAGTATGACACTTTTTTATTTGTGCGACTTACTTGTGTTATATTATAATAATTTTTTAACTTACAACATATAACTACATTAAACATAAATATGTCAATTGAGAAATAATTTTATTTTTCTAATGAATTTTAATAAATATTATTATATTTCATTATAAAGAAGATACATATAATTGTTTATTTCATATATACAATATAGATGCCAAATCGAAGATCATCAAAAGATGATTAATTTGATATATTATATATGTAAAACCGATAAGAAATATAAAAGTTATCAACTTTTAAAATACATTTATAATTCAATAGCTAATTGAAGGAAACAAATCAAAAGTCAGGGATATATTTGTCACTTAGTGCCTCAGTATGTAAAATTACAAAGAAATAAAGGGTTATATTAGTAAAAGTGATATTAAAATACCTAAGTTAACTAAATAATATTTATGGAATGTCCAAACCTAAATTATTAATTATTAATATATCAATATTGTTTTTCCAAACCTAATTACGAAGCATGATTTTTTGCCAAGTAGGATTCCGAAGCACCAGAAGCAGCCAATAATATATAGGGAGGATTTATATCTTGTGACAGGTATTTCTTTTTATGTATATATAAACAATATAAATATCAAATCCACGATTGCGTAAAAATGATTAATTTGATATGTTATATACAAAACCCTAAAAATGAGAAATAGTTGTTAAGTTTTTAAAAATATTATCGTTTAGGTAGATTCTACCGTTTCGTTACGGAATCATTCCGTCGGAGTTTGTAATTAACCGTTAGATCAACTATCCTGGTTACATAATGATCTAACGGTTACAAATTCCGACGAAATGATTCCGTAACGAGACTGTAACATTTCCTATAGTTTAAGTTAGACCGTTATTTTTATAATTTTAAAATCCTAATTGACATGATAAATGCCAGCCTAATAAACATGTAGGGATTACTCTGAACCACCATAATTTTACATATAATTATAAGGCACAAAAAAATTGACACATATACCCGAAAAACCATGCATTTATATATTCAGAGGGATATATATATATATATATATATACAATGATATATCATATATTTATTTATGTTATGTGTTAGTATTTATTCTATGATATATCATACATTTATTTATGTTACTTGTTAAAGCCAAAAAAAAAAAAGAAAAAAAAAATTGAAGGTCATTCTAGCAAGTAGTAAAGGATAGGGGTGGGCACGGTTCGGTTAACCGAACTTTTTGAGGTATTTGCTAACCGAACCGAACCGAACAAATATTCGAACTCGCTAACCGAAACCGAACCGAAAATCTCGGTTAACCGAATTTTCGTTAACCGAAAAAAATCATACTATTCGCGAATTAACCGAACCGAACCGAACCGAGCGAACCTAACACAAATCTGCTTGTTCGCAAATAATAAACCGAACCGAACCGAACCGAACCGAAAACATTAATATAAATATAATATATAATATATAATATATAATATAATATATAATATATAATATATAATATAATATATATTTTAATAAAACATATATTTTATAATATAATATATAATATAATATGTATTCTATAAATTTTAATATAATATACGGTTCGGTTCGGTTAACTAGGGTAAAAAGATCTTAAAAACCGTAACCGAACGGAACCGAGCAAATACTTCATTTGAGGTATTTGTAACCGAACCGAGTCCCTCGGTTAACCGAAATTTCGGTTCGATTTCAATTCGGATCTACGATTCAGCAGTTCGGTTCGAATTTTTTGTCCAGCCCTAGTAAAGGATATATAGAGTCAAGCAGAAGCAACATACTAATATAATATTACCATATAATTGTTTCATTGACAGAAAAGTCTTTAGGATATTAAAAAACGAATGAAATCTTATAATATATAGCTAAATTCAACACACATAAATATAAAAAATAAATAAATAAAAAATCCGCAATTAAACCGACCATGGCCTAACCATAGTTAGAACAACTACTATTAACATTTTAAAATTGGAGGGGTTAAGTTAAGCCCCAAGGGTTTATTAGGTCCACCAACTGGTGGTTATGTTTTTTTCCAAAACTTCAATCCCAACAGTCTGTTAAAAAACAGTTTTCTTAATTAGCTGTAACCATCTTACAAAATTTGAGACCAATTTTTTTTTTTTTTTTGCTTGTATTTGTTCACCATAATAATAATAAAAATCTTTAATAAATCCTATTTTTTTTTTCTTCCTTTTTTTTTTGTTGGTTTTTATATTGTAGAGAAGTTTCTAGGCAATCTTTGAGGTTTGCAAGACTTGTCTCCACGTGAGAAAGGTGGGCATACATGAAAAGGAATATAATGTTTTTCTAATACAGATAATTAATTTTGAGATGAAACTTCACTAAGGTGCAAATAGGTCCAGTCTCCTATGGTGCGTTTATGCATAATTGGTTTTGGGATGGAACCTCACTAAAGTACAAATAGGATCACTCGCTTATGGTGCGTTTCACCTGGTAGAATCGCACTCTTTTCTCTCGTATTTAACATGGTATCAGAGTAGGCTTGTCTTGGGATTGGGTCTATAACTCTACCCTGTCTGCTCTTGTCTGTGGTTACGAAAGACTCACAAGTGAGGGCATGTTGGAATTCCTTGTGAGTTGTCCCACATTAGGTAAACGAGCCTATTATATAACTCTAGTGGGGTACCCCTCTCAACGCTAATTGCTTTACTATAGTTTGCACTTAGATTCATGGTGCGCTTCATTTTGTGGGACCGCACCACCTTCCCTGTTCTAACATAAACAATAGTAGTTTGGAGCCATCATTATTTCTTTATGTTTAAATTATTACACCGCTTTTTTGAAATATATTATATTATTATTTTACCTTTCTTCATTTTTCAATTTTCTTTCATGGGTTGGTGTCATTTTTTCCAATGATAAGGAGTGTTGGTGTGGGTTTTGTTTGAAGGATCTTTAGGATCAGTTTTTGTCTCCATTTGTTTTGGGGCAGATAAAATTCTTGATTTTTTTTTGAGTTTTGTGCTCTTGTTTTGTTTTTTTGGGCAATCATTCTCTTGTGTTCTCTTTGCTTCCCCCAATTGAGGTAAACATATAGTTTTCAAGATTTTATTCTTACTATTTTTCTTCTGCCTTTTATGCTGCTTTTCTTGTGTGTGTGTGTGTGTGTGTGTGTTTTTGGTGTGAACTCACTGTGATGATGAATATGAACTTGGGAAGAAAAGGGT